AAATAAAAATAAAAATAATAATAATAATAATAATAATAATAATAATAATAATAATAATAATATGGGTGTGATAATTAATTCCTGCAGTGATTTTATTTTATTTTCAGCAGCAGCAATTCTTTCAAAACTCAAGTTATCCATTTCAAAAGTTTCAAAAATGTAAAAGTATAACAAAGCACAATCAATATAACTATTAGCACACTGTGAAAATGTGTCACATCAAGACACTGATCGTATATGAATTAGTGGATGCTTCAGAATTGTGAAGTGACATCCATAAAAATCTTATCTTAAAGGCCAGGCAGGCGAGCAGCACTAACAGGTATCCCTTCGTAGAGCGTGGTACCTTGTGATTGACAGGTCAGTCTCTGAGTCCATCCAGCTCAACGCACCAAACTCAAACTGTCAAACTAGGCAGTGCCGATCAAATACAGAGCAATATTCCGTTACTACATAGTTTTTTTCTCACCTCAAATCTTTTCAGAAACTATTTTAGTGTACTGTATTGCTGTAATATGAAAACATGTGTGACCAGGTGAGCTGCCATTGCACAGCTAATGAGTGCTGCACATCATCGCTGCTTGCTCTAAAAACCAACATGCCGACGGCCAAAATGTCAAACTCAAGGCTTCAAAACAGTATTCCACAAACCACTAGGAGATTTTAGGAGAGTGGTTTTCTCGGTAACTTTTAATCAAAAGCCAGCAGGTCTCATGTTAAATTCTCATTCGAAACAAGACAATAGTCAAGACAGTTTGATTGCATGAGGCCAGCAAGATGTTTTTTTTTTTTAAATATAAAAGAACAGCTTATTCAAAATGTTACTGCATAACTCTTCCAAAGGCCAATATATTATAAGACCTGACAATGCATGAAAGAGCCAGAGCAAGTACCGTAGGTCCCCTCCAATGACCTATGTTATGTTTAAAGATATAAAACTTTTCTACATTTCACACCTGGATTACTCTAACAGCCTTTTTACATGTCTAAATAGAGAAACTACAGATGGGCTACAGACAGAACAGAACTCAGCTGCCAGGCTTTTAACCAGAGTAAGTAGGTTTGAATACATCAATCCTCATTACACTGGCCTTCAGTTCATTTCAGAATTGATTTTAAGGTGCTTTTAACTACTTACAAGACACTAAATGGTCTAAAAACCTATCTCACAGATATTTTATCCCTGAACAACCCTACTTGCACTTTTTCGATCCTCTGGCAGCAGGGGCCTTTTATCTGTTCCAGACTCTCAGCTGAACACTAAGGGGGACAGAGTTTTTGAAATAAGAGCCCCGAGGCTCTTGAACACCCTGCCCGAGGAAGTACGGCAGGCTAAGTCAGTGACTTCTTTCAAATAAAAGCTCAAAACTTACTTTTACGCACTGCTTTCCCTAATTTCATCTGATTCTAGTTTTTATTCTGTTCAGGAGTTTTGCGTTTGTATTTTGTATATGGTTTGTTTTGTGCTTTGATTCTTTTATTGCTGTATTTTATGTGCTTGTTTAATTTGCTTGTTATGTGAAGCACTCATTTGATAAGTCCTATATAAATAAAGCTATATTATTATTCTATTCACATTGGCAGTACCTACTAGGAATCAACCCATCTAACTGCAAGATGCGGTGAGACATATAAGAGTAGATAAAATCAGACTGACTCATCATGGACGATTGTGGGTCCATCGCGGGAGGCCGCCTCCTCTTTAATGACACGGATGAGCTCGAAGGTGCTGCTGATGGGCGCGTCGGCATTCGGCCACTTGGGGCACTGAAAGTGACGAACTTCTAATACGTAGTCATCCTGGCAGACAGACAGAGGGCAAGACAGGCAGAAGGACAAAAGCAGAAAGAGATACAAAGGTTAGATGAAGGATGTTCGGTTTAGAATGTGACTTGAGCTTTGACCAAAACAATTAGCTGCAATTATGCAATTTTAGTTTTATTAAATTTTTTTACTTTTAACTCCCCAAAAGCTGTTTGTTTGTAGCTTTAAGAAAGTTATTTGAGGCTTCCAGTATCTGTGGTTGGTTCCAGTACAGTCCCATTAATTAGTCATGCGACTTATTAAAAACACTAAATTCATAGATGTACAAAAACAGTGACAACCATCTTTTAAAAATTATTTTTTTACAAAGTAAAATATTTACTTAATGTGTTAATGAGCTAAAAACGAGAAAAAAGAAATATGTAGATTACTTTTAGTATTTTGTTTTTAAATATCTATATAGCTCTTGAAAAGTCACACCTTATAAAACTGGAAACAATCTGAGAAGTAATGAAAATAGGCAAGATGACATGTTTAGGTAATAAAGTACGCTTTATACGAGAAAGGTTATTTTAATTAATTGATTTGAAGCTCACACTGGTTGCAGCTCGGTGTGTGTTTCGCTTTCAAAGTGTGTATACTGAGGTTTGTGTAACTGATCAAAAAGGTGCAAAATTGGAAATATGGAAGCCCATTAAAGATAAACTGTAGAAGCCAAATAGTCAAAATTATAACCTGCAGAAGGGACAACATTCTAATTTTGTGCATGAACAGAACATAACAGAGGACTGGAGAATGATTGAGGACATGTTTCTATCTGTTAGACTCATTTCTATTTTACTGTTAAAGTCTGATGGACAACACTGGGAAATAGCCTGGAGCCTGTTGCAGCAGCTGTTTAAGTAACAACTAAATAGTTACACATCCCCTATATGGTAGTTTAAATTATAAAAATACATAAAATTATACTTGGTAAAAATGGTAAAACGGCATTTTTTCTGTCAAACAGCAAAATGTTTTCATTAACTGCAGACATTATGCAACA